GCGGCCATTTTAAAACTCCCGAACAGCGGTGTTTTGCCGTCGAGTGTCTGGAACTCAAATCGGACACTCGACTAGGCGAACATCGCCGAAACCTCCACAAGCCCGGTCCGTTCGGTTCCAAACTACCGAACGGCCCCTCGTTCGGTAGATAGAAAGAACCGAAAGAGGGGATTCAGGCGAACCCTCCCTAGCCTCTATAGCTAGAGGCTTTCGTGCAGTTTGTTCCCTTATTCCAGGACCGACCGCAGGGCCCATTCGCATGGAACCGCATTCAGCTATTTCAGTCAGTGCGGTCGGTCATTTTATTCCCTCCATACATTTCCCGAACCCCTGGTCTGATCTGGGTGATTTTTGGATATGTTGTTCACCCAGATCAGGGCTATCAGGGGATGTAGGATTTAAAGGGGTACCCCTACGTTTAGGGGTACATCTAGAAACGGGGGGAATTGCTAGACTGGATAAGGGGATTATGATGCTGGCTGAGGGGAGGAGATATGTGGGAGGTTACCAGGACAGGATTGGCTACTGTACTAATGATTGTAAATCCCTCCCTTGCACGGGAGCATGCTTTAAAAGGACACTGTGGATTAAAAGATTCAGTTCTGCTCCTGAAACTGTGTGTCGTCCAGTTATTGGGATTGCTGTGGGGATATTGCTGTTATTTTACCTGCTGGAAGCCTTGCCTGTGGATTTACTATTTACTTGTTCCTGAGCCTCACTTGGATCATAAGCGGAGATACCCTGGGGAATATTGCATCTCCGCTACAAGGAAATAAAAATATAGTTGTCAGACGGGGGCCAAAAAGGTTTGTACTGATAGTAGTTATATGTAGCTTGGGATACAGTTGTGAAGAAAATTCTAGATGTAGTTCCAGAAGTTGACATGAATCCTTATGGGTTCCAGAAATACTGTATATTATCAGGTCCTTGGACTTTTGTTAAGTAGATACTGGTATAACTCCAAGTTGTATAGCCTGCTTGTAATCCCATTGTTAGACTTTAATCATTTTTTTATTTATTAATTATTTCTACTGGATCCTCAATCAATGTTATTTATGTATTTGTGTACTGTAGGTGACCTGTTAATACCCATAGGCAATCTTTATCATTTAAGACCACTACACCCCCTCCTTTGTCTGCTGGTCTGATAATTATAATTATAGAGGTAATTTCCAAGGTTTTAATATTGTTTATTTCCATTCTAGTTATATTAGAATGTTTCATTTTATGTTGTTTGATGATCAACTTTTGTAAATTTTAACTTTATTTAGTTTTTATAGAAGCTAATGGGTCAAAAGTACTCCTCATACCAAAAACTGAGTATCTGTTGTATAATTCCAAATTTTATTTTTAATTTCGAAAAAAATTATTTAGTCTTAAAGTACATATTTTCATGTATTGTTTTGCTGCTGTTGTTGGTAAGAATAATAAACCTTTACTGAAGGCTAATATCGTCCTTTTGTTAGCCCTCGCACGGACAGGTTGAAAACAGGTACAATCTCCTTTTTGACCAGTGGCCTGTGCAGGTTGTCCGTCTTCTGTGGGGTTTTTTAAGTTGGCTTCGGGTAACTTTTACTGTTATCAATGCCCCTTCCTGTGTTTCTAAAAAATCTTCAGAATTTACTGTTTGCATTGTTTACCCATCTGAGGCCTATTCCCAAATATTATATCCACCATTGGGATATTGGCTTGTTGAATCCTCATCCGAAAACTAGGTGGCCTTGGTTTGTATATACAATGTTTACAAAAAGTTTTTTGTCGGGGGCGGGGCCTGACTGTAATGGTGGAGTTTTTTTTTGGACATACCAAAACAATGGGGTCTTTCCAGAGAGCTCCTCTACCATCCTGATAAAAAGGACCGTATTTGGGGCCTCTTTAGCTCAAAGCAACCAGAGCTGGGAGGGGGACTAGCATCCTGACCTACCTGACAAGCCAAGAAGTAATCTGCGATGAACCACAAGCCCCATTGTTGCTGATGCTACCTAGTGCGTGCCGTGCAGGAGAGGCAACCGACCTCCTGACTCGGTGGTGTTGGGAAGCACCTTTCTTGTAAATGACCCGTTACTCCCCACCCCCTCGGACCAGTGGGAGTGATCCTGGTCCACACCCAAGAGGCGGCTCTGACCCAGCTGGTGGAGAGACTCTGCTTCAACTTACCTGACATGGCGGGGACCGTGTGTTTTCCTGACTCTGGAGTGGTACAGCTTGACTTTGAAACCCAGCTCACCATTCTATTCAACAACTTCTGGAGACGTCTGGAGAGCAGAGCCGGTAGGCACCAACAAAGTGATGCCCCTGACGGGCTTAAACGCCACCTAGTCCGCGGACCCCAACTGCACCCTCGGAGAAAGCAAATGGCACCCAGACCACGGCACACACAAACAGGGCGGAAATGCCCAAACAAGCGCAAGATCAAGGAAGCCGAGCGCAATTCCCAGATGGATCGGATTGTCAAGTGGTCCCCCTAAGCGACTGCCCTGAAACTTGTGTGGTCTATGCCTGGATCTTTACTCCCGACGGCTTCCTGGCTGCCCCTAATCTATAATATGCCGCTAAAAGGCATAGGCTGACCTGGACTAGGACTCCTGCTGGCTGGAATTACCCCCCATCCCCCCAACCCCCACCCTGATGTCTCCACAAAAAGCTAACATTTGCTTTGTTTTTTGTCTTGTATTTGATTTACAAAGTCTAATTAATAGTAAACACGAGATGCCTGGTACATGATAACTGGGGGGCCTCTGGGGTGGACTGCTACCTAATTCCTGCATTTCTAGAAAAGTTCCTGCTAAACAAGTTTATTTTTTTATTGATCGTTTAGACATGAATACTTGAATATGAAATTTCTATAAAAATTGTGCTGTATTCTCACAAATGCTGGGGCATTGCAAGCTACGTTGTTATAGTTACATGCACTTCAAAAATAAAGAATCTAAAAAAATAAAAGTTTTTTTGTCAACCTCTCTTTTATTGAGGCATGATCATAGCAATACAGAAGGAATAAATCAGAGTTATAACAGATATAAACATATAGAAAACGCAGACAGTATATACAATGGTATAAACTCCCAAGTGGGACAGCCTCAGTTTAAAAAAATTAAAACAAATCAGATAGCAGGATAGGTCAAACAGCTGCACAACTTATGGAGGTTAATTAAGCACAGTGCTAGGGAGGAGGAACAGTTAAATTATTGATATGCTGTAAGACCAGAGCACTAAATGCTTGTGATATTAATTAGAGTACAGCTGTTATGAGACATGCTATGGAGAGAATAAAAGTAAACCATATAGACCAATCATCACAAAATATACATATATATATAGGCATGTATAGATGCTAAAGTATGAAGGCTAGGGATATGTCAATTAAGAATAACTGTAGAATATGACATATGCTGTCAGTTCCTATTCAAGTACACATTAAGGTATGGATGTCTAATGGGTTAATAAGAATCAGGAAATGCAGGGGCGTGGCCTGACCGTGAAGGAAGCTGGACGCGTCTGACTAGAGCTCCGCTCCATTCACACTTCAATTAGCCTACAAAAGCACCAACAACAAGCGAAAAGATTAAAATATGGATAAAAGAAACCCTAAGAAGACCACCAAAAAGGGTCAGGAAGGTGGAAACACTGTGATGGGCCTTTTCGCAGCTCAGAAAGCCAGACAGATTGAGACCCAAGATGGCGCTGGCGAGGGCCTTTCCTCTCAGTCAACCTCTCCGCGCACATCCTCACCCGGAGATCCATCCTTAGGGGACGCAGCCCAGATCCTGGCTAAACTGGTGGAGGTGAGAGCATACCTAGCCGGAGAAATAGAGAAATCTACTTCGGTCCTGCAGGCCGAGATACACGCGCTGGGAGCGTGGACTCACCGGCTGGAGACCAGGCTGGAAACTACCACCGCAGCCCACAATGCAATGGTCACCCAAGTCAATAGCCTATCAAGCCGCATGGCAGAGGCCGAACTGACTATGGAAGACATGGCCAACAGATCGCGGCGCAATAATCTCCGCGAGGCCTCCCTGAAACAGATAACGAGGGCCCCATCCGAGACCTGGTGCTGGAGGTATTACAGCCCCTGCTGCCTGATATACCGGCTGAGCGGTGGACAATAGAGAGAGCACACAGGGCCCTGCGCAACTGGAGATCGGACGCAACGTTCCCGAGAGATGTGGTAGTCCGCTTCTTTAACTTTCAAACCAAGGAGGCCCTGCTGAGGAGGGGGTAGAGATGGCCCCATAAAGCACTGAGGAGCAGAGATCTTCCTATACCAGGACTTGGCGCCCAGTACCTTACAGCGACGCAGGGAATGGAAGCCCATAACCGAGGCCTTACGATGGGCCGGGATACGGCACGCCCGGGGGTTTCCCTTTAAACTCCTGGCTTTCAAGGATGGCCGCACGAATGTGCTTGCACCCGGTGGGGATCCAGAGCAGCTGTTCCGGAGTCTGGGACTCCCACCCCCTCTTAACTTGCCTGCGGTGCCAATGACACAGAGGGATTCAAAGCTCTACCCACAGAATGGCAGGAGGTCGGAGAAGGGAGACGGTGGCAACAATGAAGGGTATCGTATGAAAAGGGTCCGGGACCGACAACATCAGACCTAGGGCCTGTCTAGGTTAGCCGACGATAATTGGGGGTCGTGACGGGACGCTTGGGGAGGGGTTGGGCAGGTGGGGGGGACTCTCCCAGTCGTTGCCGACCAAACTACCACACACACTGGCAATCTTGGCACCCACCATATTGGAGTCTGGGGGGGAGCCACTGCGGCCACTGATGTCTGGGGTGGGGGATGGGAATCATATGGCTTGTTACCAACTCGCTAGCACCCACTTCTTAGGTCACCGGGTCCTTCATCGGGCATTGACTCTGAGCCCGCCTGTGGCCCGTGGAGGACACCTGGGTTGACGCTAAGCACTTATACTGATGAGCTGAAGGGACTTGGGAGCCTCAGCCGGGACTGTACCGGAGTGGGACTAGCTCATTTCGGTGCCACTACCGCCATGCCCAAGAGGGACGCTGAAGGCGTATGCATGTGCCACGACGGACTGACCATGGCATCTCATATTGGCACTCACCCATACACACAATACTGCAGGAATACGACATCACACAATTCACTAGAGTACAAACACTTGCCCACATACACCACCGACATCCTGCACGCACCTATACACACACAACCCAACACACAACCACCAAGATAAAATGCATAAGCAACAGATGACCAATCGCAAATTAACCTATGTGCCAGGACAGCAATACGTTGCCCACCCATGTATAGCATATAATGGCTACCCACTAAGCCACATGACAAGATTGCATGACGTCGCCAGGTGGAGCTGGTGTACCTGCACATAATCGGCTTTCTAGCGCCCCCTACCCAATGAGTGCATTATCCCAATGTTTGTATAGCTCCCCTACATAGAGACTGCACAGGGCCCTGGTGTATACAAGGGTTATCGGTCCCTAAACAGGACTGAGGTTACAAGGTTATACAGATTGTTGCATGTTTCACCTTATGTGAATAGTAATGTTTTTAGAGTTATAAGGTTCCGAACTTAGCTGCCTAGCTTTCCTGACGCGTGTGGCGCGCGCATTGTACGTGCCCACAGGATACGGCAGTTACCGTGTTGATGGCATCTAGCAATGTAGTGTGACATGGTCATGGCTTATGGGCCTGCATCTCACACGAGCGCTGGACGTCGTGGACGTGCCGTTCCAGGTACCCCATCAAAGTCGGGCAGCAGGTAAGACCAGACAGTGTCTACTTAGTTCTTGGCGTGCTTATGGCACGCTCTATTTCTCTCTTCTCTTTTCTCCCTTTCCTTTTCTCTTCTCCTATGGGACCGTGGGACGCTGCTGGGGGGGTGGGATGGGAGTTGGGCGATTCTTTTGTGGCAACTGACTATTGGACATTACACGACAAGGGCGGAGAGAGCAAAGGTGGGCGTGATGCCCGGCAGGAACCCCCTACCATACACATAGCTATAAATCTCACTTCATTGAACGAGAAGGGCTTGAATACCCCTAGAAAGTGGCGCCTACTGTTCCGCGAGCTAAAAAAAAGGAAAGCAGATGTTGCATTTTTGCAGGAGACCCACCTTCCTAAACACATAAAATTTAAATTACGGGACCACACATATGGCTCCACACATGAAGCCAGGGCACACAGGAAGCGCAACGGGGTAGCAATATTGATACGAAATAGTTGCCCTTTTCAGGTATCGAAAACTGAAACCGATCCGGAAGGACGGTACATTATCCTTTCTGGCACTCTATTTTCACACACAGTCCACCTCATCAACATATACGCCCCTAACCAACCAGAACAGAGATTCTGGGATCAGATACAGAAAATGCTGCGTGGCATGGTGGTAATGGGAGGTGACTTCAATGCGGTGCCGTGTCCCCCCCATCGACAGGTGCGCACACAGAGGGATCCCGAGATCCCAGGGGAGAGGGGGACAGGACAAACTATTACACGAGTTCATATCAAACACGGGCTTGATAGACGTATGGAGGGTGCCCCATCCAGGCGAGGTTGACTATACCTTTTACTCTGCACCACACGACACGTACTCCAGGATCGACCTTTTCCTGGTTAACGACTGTAGCTTGGCACGGGTTAAGAAATCATCGGTGGGCTCGATAACATGGTCTGACCACGCTGAGGTGACATTGACGCTAGGGAGCCTCTGTACTGCAACCCCATAGACGTGGAGAATGAACACGTCCCTACTTAGAGGCGCAGACATCATAAAACAAATAAAGGGATACAAGAGTATTTTACTTTTAATGATTGCCCAGATTTGAAAGTAAGCACCACTTGGGCGGCCCATAAGGCTGTAATAAGGGAGGCATTCATTCGCCTTAAGACCAAAAAGAAAAAATGAAAATCCCAAACCTTAGAACGACTTCTGTCAGAGTTGCGGACTCTAGAGCAGACACACCAATCCAACCAGGACAGGGAAACTTTCCAACGCTTAGACGCGGTGAGACATAATATCCGAACCCTACTACTAGAGGACACAGCCAAGGCCATGATATAC